GTAATCCTAGCTACTAAGGAAGCTGAGATCTGAAGATCAAGGTTTGAAGCCAGTTACATAAAGCAGGAAAGTCTGTGAGACTCTTACCTCCACCTCTTACCTTAACCACCTAAAAGCCAGAAGTAGAGCCGTGGTTCAAATGGTAGAGTACCAACCTTGAGCAAAAAAGCTCAGGGACGGCACCCAAGCTGAGCTCAAGCCCCAGGACTGGCATATAGGCACACATAATAGTAACAAAAATAATTAGCCCTATTTAGAATGTCTTACAGAGAGCATATACTTCTAATTGAAAACATTTTGGGGGGAAAATTGCTAAGTTTATTATACCAAAATTTATTATGTGTCAAATTGTATTTTAAATTACACCAGAAATAGAAATGATATTTTCTTAGTTAATGTACTGTACTGTATCAGTAATCTATTGAAATATAACAAACTATTAAAGTTGAGTGTCTTAAGATACTTTAGTCATTTATTTTTCTCAGAGATTTGTAATTTGGGCAGGACTTAGGCTTGTCTCATGAAGCCATTTTTTCTGGTGGCTTGATTGACAGCTAGAACCTACTTTTGGCTTTCTTAACTAGCTTGGAAGTTGGTTGCTGGAGGGATTCAGTTCTGCTTCACAGAGTTTTCTTACTGGCTATGTAGGCTCTCTTCTAGTACAGTAAGTTTTCAAGAAAGCAAAGTATAAGTTGGTGACATTTCAGAAGTTGTATTTCACTACTGCTGACCTTGCTGGTAAGAGACAACCACCAAGGCCCTATCTACATTCAACAATGCGGTTTTATCAGTGGGACAATGTTGAGAAAATTTGATCTACCATATATGTATATATATATAACGTGTATATATATATATATATATATATAAGCAGTATATATATATATATATATATATAGTTAATATTTCTAAGAAAGTCTTTGGGAAAAAATGTTTTGAAATTAGAAGACAAACTAAAAGTCAATTACATTTTATCTGTGCCAAAGACTGAATTTTTCTCTGTATAATTTTTAGTGATTCAGTTTAACTATGTCTATAATCAGAATATATAGTTAACCCAGTTGTGCACATAAAAGGGGAACTGACTTGAGGGAGGGAACGCCCAGTCTGAGGCTGTATGAAGGTTATGAAATTCTTTGGTGAATGACAAGACAGGCACATAATATTTCTTGCTTCCTGGCAGCTGATCTGCTTGTATTAATGATTGTATATGGTCTATAATGATATTGTTTTATATGGCCTACAATGATGTTATAAGTGTCCAAATGGTCCTTGGCAGATAAAAGGTACTGATTCCTTAAAGATATTAAAATGTAGTTGCTGTTACGGATATGTAAGAGGGTAAGCACTTCCCTGAGAAGTCCAAAGACCACTCCTAGATTAGAGATTGACTAGGAGGACTCACAGGACACGGCATATAGTCATATTTGCAGCTGAAGTTTATTATAGTAAAGTCAGCAAAGGGAAAAGGCAAATAGGAAAAAGTCCAATGGAAACAGGCACAGGTTTCTAAGAGTCTTCTCTCAGTGGAGGCATACAGGATACATTTAATTCTTCCAACAACAAACTGACCACATGTGTGAAATGTTGTCTGCTTGAGAAGTTCATTAGTGATGTGCCCATTAGTGTTCACTTAATGATTTTCATTTGTGATGTTCACTAATGATGTTTTTATAGTATTAGAGTAATATTTATTTTAATAATAAACTAATACGGTGTCTACAACCACAAGTCAAGGTAGGCTGAATTGTCCCAAATTTCAGGGTCTTCCCATATCAGAGATTTTACTAATCACCTAGCTACAATTTGTCACATAGCGGCTCTCCCTAACAGAAGGACAAGAAAATGTAGCATGATCCACAACAGCTTTTAAAGGTTTCACCAGGAGGTGTCAAGTCAGTTTCCATTTCATTGGTCAAAGTAAGTCACATGGTTGCACAATGGGCTGGGTGACTGAAATTGTCGAGCCTACTGCTATTTCATTGGTCACATGGCTGCACAGTGGCTGGAGAAGTAGAAGTACTATCCAGTCTACTTCCCTTCATGTGCCCTTCTATGTTTTTCCTAGAAGATTGTCACATAGGCACTTAACACCTCTTAGACTTTTAAGTATAAACCTGTATGGTTTGTATAAACAGCTTAGACACAGTGAGCCTTTCTTACCTATTATGGTGATTTGAACCATCCTGAAATCCAAGTTTCCAGATGCCAGCCAGTGAACAAACAACTTTACAGGCAGGCTTCTCTCAAAAGCTAGCTCAGACCTTCCATGTTCTTTTGCTGAATGTTCACTTAAAAAAAAAAAGCGCATCCCAAATTTTAAAATGGCTCTTGGTTATCTGTTTGATGTATAGATTTCTGAAAAAAATATGCATAAAATTTTGTATATTAATATAAAAATAAATAAGATGTAACTTGACTGTGATGTTTAAAACCAAGACCAAAGATTGGTATTTATTGAAACATTGAAGTTTTCAGGTAGGATGGAGTTAAAACTTTATAACCATTTTATGTAAGTATATTTCTATGTAATACTAAAAGATCTTTTCCCCATATTTATGTTTCCTGCTTTTTGAAAAATTGTTCTTTTACCAAAAACAGTTACCTTTATCCTCCCAACCCACAAATGAACATGTAATATACTTAACTTTATGTCATAAAATGAAATTTTTAGATTTGTTGATAGGCAGCCTGTCTGTAGCAGAAGTTGAGCTGGCTTTATGGGAAACATGAATCAAGTATCTGTAGTAGATAAAAAGTATGAAGTAAGATCTAGTTTTGGATGAGCAGTATTAATGCATACAGTAGTAATTTGTGACAGTAATGTAGGTTATTCAGTGTTCTAATTTATGGATGCTTGGACTACTATATATACAGTTTAGGCAGATTTGAGTGATTTTAGAGTTCTGAATTCTCATCTGTGGCATTGTTTTTCTTCAGTGAGAGTATCCTTGGAACCTAGGTATTAAATACACTAATCATGCTATAATCTTAGCCTTATTTTAAAAGATGTTTTCTTCTTTCTGAGCATTCTCTTGAGTTATTCCCTATATAGTGTCCCTATGTAGTGTTCACGAAGAAATACTCTTTAACATCCCTGAGGATGAGACAGTCCCAAAGAATATTTCATTTATCACATATTTGCTTATATTGGTTACAGACCCTGTTAAAAAGGGAAAGGGAAGGAGGGGGATCAAAGTCCAGAATATAGAAAATGCACTCTTCAGTTCCTTCCATGTACATTTATAAGAATGAATGTGTGAGACTAATCAGCCTTGAGTAGAAAAGCCAAGCTAGAGAGTGAGGCACAAAGTTCAAGCTTTACCACCAGCACCAAAAAAAAAAAAAAAAATTATGTGTGTTGGCAGCTTTCCACCACCTTCCTCCCCAGTCTTCCTTTGCATTCTTTGCATTCTTGGGGAGGCAGGACAAAATAACATACTAATTCAGAACATGAATTCTGGAACTAGACTGCCTATACTACTGGAATAGTAGCTTGTTTGGTCTCAGTTTTCTCATCTATTCAATAAGAATAATAATGATATCTATCTCATGAGGAAATATCTACTGCCATAGTAGACATTCAGTTTATCATCATTTTATGGATATAGCAATTATATTTACTGAATAAAAATCGGAATATCTCTTTATATAATTCTGAAATCAAGTAGTTAGTCACTGTGTGGAATTGTGTCCCTCGTGGGATTTTTAGGACATATTGCGCGCGCGCGCGCGCGTGTGTGTGTGTGTGTGTGTGTGTGTGTGTGTGTGTGTGTGTGTGTACCAATCCTGGGGCTTGATCCTGAGCTTTTGTGCTCAAGGCTAGCACTACCACTTGAGTGTGTGTGTGTGTGTGTGTGTGTGTGTGTGTGTGTGTGTGTACCAATCCTGGGGCTTGATCCTGAGCTTTTGTGCTCAAGGCTAGCACTACCACTTGAGTGTGTGTGTGTGTGTGTGTGTGTGTGTGTGTGTGTGTGTACCAATCCTGGGGCTTGATCCTGAGCTTTTGTGCTCAAGGCTAGCACTACCACTTGAGTGTGTGTGTGTGTGTGTGTGTGTGTGTGTGTGTGTGTGTGTGTGTGTGTGTACCAATCCTGGGGCTTGATCCTGAGCTTTTGTGCTCAAGGCTAGCACTACCACTTGAGTGTGTGTGTGTGTGTGTGTGTGTGTGTGTGTGTGTGTGTGTGTGTGTGTGTGTGTGTGTGTGTGTGTGTGTGTGTGTGTACCAATCCTGGGGCTTGATCCTGAGCTTTTGTGCTCAAGGCTAGCACTACCACTTGAGCCTGCCCAGGATGGCTTCAAATTCAGACTGAGGTCTCCTGAGTAGATAGGATTACAGATATGATTCAGGAGAGCCCTGTTACTTTTCAATTTTTATTCTAGTGTTTGTTTTTGTTTCAGTTTGAATTCAGGGCCTTGTGCTTGCTAGGCAAGCATTCTACTCCTGAGCCACATCTCCAGCATAGCCATATCTTTAAAGTACAGTAAGAGTTTAGGAATTGTGAGGAGTAGGAATAAAGTTAAACGTGGAAATATTGGTGGCACACATTTGGGATCTTTCTCAGGAGCCCGAGGCAGGAAAATTTTAAGTTCTAGTCATCCTGTGCTGCAATGTGAATTCCAGGTTGTCTTGGGGTTACGTAATGAGACCCTGTCTCAAAAACAAAGGCAGAGGAGCAGAAGACAAATATTGAAGCCCTTTATACTAAACTAGTATATCTGCTTTTAATTCTTGGTACTAATGTGATTATGGTTTAATAGAATATTTCCTCACTGAACCTGAATAGAAGAATAACATTAGTATTGACTGTTGTATAGCCAATGATAGAATTACGTTTGGCTAGGGAGTGAGCAAATGGGATGAAAACCCCAGTGGAAGCAGAGAAAAATGGTGTTTTGACATTATTACTTAGTGAAACAAGCTGTCCCAATAGGAGAAGTACACAAGGTGTTACTTAAATATAAGAATGAAGTTAATATTTTTAACATTTTTCCTTAAGGACCAGAGTAATGCGGAGCAACACGCAGATGGACTTATAGTAAGTTTAATCTAATCTTTTTCTTTTCCTTTACTTCTGCAGAGCATTATAACCAGTCATGTCAGGAGAGGCCTGAATTTCTACTCATTTTTCAACGCAGATTTTCTCTTTTTACCTTCTCACTGCTTTTGTTGTTAACTCTTGCAATTTTCCTTGAATTCCTAAAGTTTCTTTCAACAATCATTTGGAGGGGAAATGTTAATATTAAATTTTTTCTAAGTATTGGTTCTGATTGGGTCACTTTGCATGTGTTAACTCAAAGGGTTAATCGTGATATGAAAACTTGGCTTTTACAACTAAATAAGGCATAACTCACCATGCTACATTTCTTGTCAAATTTCTCTTTTTCTCAGATGAAAGCGGAGAGGGGAGGGTACAATAGTCAAAACAATCTATATAAATGTGTTTATACATTCATATCTTTTTTATTTTTGGATTTTAGGTTTTGTATTAACTCTTAACTACTGTATTTATATTGTATTCTTGTTGGAACATGTTACAACATGAATTTTTCACTTCAAGCCTTTTTCTGGTTGTTATTTAGCTTTCTACTCTTCCTTTATATTTAACTTTCCCTTTAAAAATAAGGAAGAAGGGCTGGGAAGGTAGCTCAGTGGTAGAGCGCTTGCCTTGCATGCATGAGGCCCTGGGTTCAATTCCTCAGCACCACATAAGCAAAAAGAAAAAAGCCAGAAGTGGCGCTGTGGCTCAAGTGGTAAGAGCGCTAGCCTTGAGCAGAAGAGCTGAGGGACAGCACCCAGGCCCAGAGTTCAAGACCAAAAAGAAGAAGAAGACAAAGAAAATTGTATGACTAGTATTTTCCAGTGGGAAGTAAAAGAATTTGAAGATTTATAGGTTGAGCTACTCTAATTGTACGTTAATTGAGTGACTTCTGGTGGCAGTTTATTTTATTGCCAGTCCTGGAGCTTGAACTCAAGGCCTGGGCACTGCCCCTGAGCTTCTTTTGCTTAAGGGGAGCACTCTGCCACTTGAGCCACAGAGCCACTGGCCTTTTTTGTTTATGTGGTACTGAGAAATCAAACCCTTCATGCATGCTACACAAGCACACTATCACTAAGCCACATTCCCAGACCTGGTGACAATATTTTTGAAGTAGGAAGCAGTCTGTTGTTTTATTTGACACTTTACAAGTGCTGCCTTATCTGAGATCTAGAAACAACATTTTATAAATCCTTACCTTTAAATCTATCTCATCATTATGCTTAGAAAGGACGAGCAGGTTCTCTTTTCATTTGGTTTCAAATGGAAAGCCAGTTTTCATATTTTTAAGAAAGAAGCCTAGGATAATGGCCCTCTTAAATAGTAGATCACCTGCCTAGAAAGCATGAGGTCCTGAATTCAACCCCAAAACACACACACACACACAAAAAACATTTTTTGAAATATGAATGTAATAAATCAGAATTTATATTTCTCTGTTCAATGTGTGGATCCTGATAATATAACTGAATTACATAAATGTAATATATTATAATAAATCTCTGGAAGAGATTTATGTATTTATTGATCTATCATTAAACGTTTTTAGCGCCATGGGAACAGACTCTGTGTGTGTTTTCCAGCACATTATAGTCTCAAAGATTATTCCTGAGAATATTCATTTTGGTAGTTGTTTTCATCTTTTATCCTGAAAGCCAAATTATATTTTAAGAGGTAGTCTGGATTTTATAAAGCATACCAAAAATATCTAATCAGTTATGGTTAAGATAATATAAGAGACTTGTACTCATAGAAAATCAAAATTTGTAGTAACCAAATGTACTAGAGTAATTTACTCAAGAACTATAGCATTTTCCATCAGTGTATATTTTCAAGAAAGGAACTAGGTCTTAGAGCTAGACTGCTTGAGCTTATATACTTGTCTTGCCACTCACTGTCTGTAACCATCTATAAATTGCTTAATTTTTCTGAGTTTTAATGTCCAACCTCTATAAAGAAAGCTGTTGTAAGGTACAGAGTACATATCCAGTAAATATTAACTATATATATTTAAATGTGTATTATGTATTGTTTTGCATTAATGGCTCAACAGATTATGGCTGAAGGTAACTTGTTAACACATCTCTAACTCTGAACATGCATTTTTTTAAAGCAAGGTATATAATGTAATTTTACATAGTGTAGCCTGAAGGTAAAGGTTGCATGGAAACATAGAATAATTCTTTTTCCAATAAACAAGTTCTGTGTTTTTTAATATACATGCTGTCAAAAAGTTAAAATTACAACCAACTTATATCTCTCTAATTAGCTTTTGTTTGTGATTTATGGATTGTAGATTAGATCTATCTGGCAGAGACAGGAAAAAAGAACCAGTAGGTTACTTTTCTTGCAATCTTAGTAAAAATAGATTCAAGTAGGCTGGAATAAAAAAATGGTTTTAGGATCCTTTCCTAAGAGTTTCAGTTTGATTATTTATCCTAAATGATTTGATCTGATCTGTTGGGATCTAGTTCAGTTGTTAATTTTTAAATTAAAAAAATAAATACATAACCAGGTACCCATGGTTCATGCTGTAATCCTAGCTACTCAGGAAGCTGAGATCTGAGGATAGCAGTTCAAAGCCAGCCCTGGCAAGAAAGTCCATGAGACTTGTTTCTAATTAACCACCAGAAAATCAGAGGTGGCTCTGTGACTCAAAGGGGTAGAGTACTAGCCTTGAACAAAAAAAGCACAGGGACAGCACCCAAGCCTTGTGTTCAAGCCCCAGGACTGACAAAAAAATAAATACATGCTATAGCATTGAGAAAAGCACAGATTTGGAAGTTTATTTATTTATGCATTTTTTAAACTTATTCAACAGCAAAAATAAATAAATTCTCCGCTGGGCATTGGTATACTTTTTTGGTATATGTGCAATGGGCACCCAGCTAGGAGAGGCTGGCACAGGAGAATTATGAGTTCAAAGCTTCCTTGGGCTACATATTAAGTTATAGGTCACTCTGCACTATGTAGCAAAGACCTTGTCTCAACATAAATAAACCAAAATTCACCAGTAACATCACTCAAAAAATAAAAATAGGGCTGGGAAGGTGGCTCAGTGGTAGAGTGCTTGCCTCGAATGCATGAAGCCCTGGGTTCGATTCCTTAGCACCACATAAGCAGAAAAGGCCAGAAGTGGCACTGTGGCTCAAGTGGTAGAACACTCGCCTTGAGCTAAAGAGCTGAGGAACAACACCCAGGCCCAGAGTTCAAGCCAAACCTCACAACCAACAAAAAATAAAAATAGAATCAGTAAGTAGCTCTTGTTTTTAAAATGCTTCCAGAGAGTGGAGGTGTGGCTCAAGTGGTAGAATGCCAACTAGCCTTGAGTGCAAAAGCCAAGTAAGAGCATATGACCCTGCATTCAGGCTCCATTACCATCAGAGAAAGGAAAGAAGGAGCTTTCATACTTTTCAAAAAAAATTTTGCCTTCAAAGGCTAGAAACCTGGACTCTTCCTCCTAAGTTTGTCTCTGGGTGTTTAAATCATTTCCTTTTTATCTTCAAAATTCTCAAAAAGCCTTTCCCATACCCGTAAGAGGCCCAACTTTACCTTCAGTTAATACCTATACATCTATACAGCAATGGACTAGAATGCAAAGATGTCTTCATAATACAAAATGGTGAATTAAGAGTTTTGAAGCACTGAATTAAATTGAGAGATTATTGTTTTGGCTTAATAAAATTTCTCTATACCATCTGATAATTGCTAAGCTTTTCCATTTAGCTTTTAACTTGGTATGACAGTGGTTCATTTATTTTCCTTTTAAACTATGCTTTCTTAGAGGAAATTCTCTTAACATACTTAGAAAAAAGTGTTTTGTTTCCTCTTTCGCCTTTTGACAAACTTATCTGTGTAGCTATCCTCAGGATTTTGCTGACACAGTGGGCCTTTCATTCATTTGGGGTGGGTCAGAAGGAGAAGGACATTTAATTAAAAATAATTGTGATGTGTTTCTTTATCTCAGAGTACTATTAATCCTGTAGATGCAATATACCAACCTAGTCCCTTGGAACCTGTGATCAGCACAATGCCTTCCCAGACTGTGTTACCTCCAGGTATAGTATTTGGAAAAATATTTTACAGATCTGTAGATAAGAAAATTTTAATTTCTCTGTTCGTCATAGTATTTTTAGCATCTTGTATATTTAAGAAATAATAATATGATCACAAAAAATATATTTGAATAGTTGGGCACTGGTGGCTCATGCCTATAATCCTAGCTACTTAGTAGGCTGAAATCTAAGGATTGCAGTTGGAAAGCTAGAGCAGGGAAATCCGTGAGACTCTTATCTCCAATTAATCACCAGAAAACTGGAAGTGGAGCTATGGCTCCAAGTGATAAGAGCATTTACTCTGAGCAAAGATGGTCAGGGACTGCACACAGGCCCTGAGTTCAAGCCCCATGACCAAAGATAAACAAAACACACACAAACACAATATTTGAATAGCTAGAACTTTTGAAGTATGATGGAAGAGAGACTTCGATTTGCTAGTAAAGGTAGGTTTGTATCACTCAGAATTCATAGCCATCAGAAAAACTTAGTATACTTTAATCTGGGTAAAGAGAATCCAAGAATATTCAGTTTTATATTTTTGTAATTCTGACCATTATAAATATTTTATTCACAGTGGATTTTAGTATGAGAAAAGGAAGAATGAAAAGAATGAGTAGTGATAAGATGTGTTTTTAAGTATAGAGCAGTATTTTCGAAAAATCAACAAAGGAGAGTCTATTTTTTTTTTTTTTTGGGTCCAGTCGTGGGGCCTGAACTCTGGGCCTGGGCACTATCCCTCAGCTCTTCAGCTCAAGGCTAGCACTCTACCACTTGAGCCACAGCGCCACTTCCGGCTTTTTTCTTTTTGCTTATGTGGTGCTGAGGAATCGAACCCAGGGCCTCAGGCATGCAAGGCAAGTGCTCTACCACTGAGCCACCTTCCCAGCCCCAAATGAGAGTCTAAAGTCACACTAATTCCTTTAGTCTTTTTGTGGCATCCAGAATTTTCTTGTTCTGTGTGATGATAGCAAGCTTAGAAATTGTACTATGAAAGGGACAGTCTTTTTTTTCTTAGTACTTAGCATATGAAGTCGTTTCATGAATATTTAATCCTTAAGAGAATGTGTTTGATATGTCTCAGGCTTCTAAAGAGAAGGTACTTTGCCCTATTCAGATTTTATGTGGTTTGAGAAACAGAAACATCTCGTTAGGAGCATTTGTTGGTTTTTCAGAGTGATCATACTAGGGTACGATCATACTAGGGTACCATCATGGCTGATCTCACAATATCCCACCTGGGGTCTTAGTGCTATGTAGCATAGTATCAATAAGGTATTTGTTTTGTGTTGGTGATATTGAGGCTTGAACTCAGGAATTTATGCTTGGCTAGGCTCAGCTATACCACCAGCCCTTTTTTGTGCTGTTTCCTTTTTTGTCTTTGAGATAGGATCTTGCTTTCTGCCCAGGTACGTGGCTTGTGACCTACATGCTTTAGGCTTCCTATCATAGCTAGGGTAATAGGCATATGCTACCACACTCAGCTCTTGGTTAAGGAAAGGGGCCTCATGAACTTTTCTGCCCAGATTGGCCTTGAACTGTGAACCTCCCAAGTAAGATTACTGGTGTGAGCCACCATCATCTAGCTCATTAATTTTTTTTAATTTATTTTTTGTTTTTTGTTTTTTTTTGTCGGTCATGGGCCTGAACTCCAGGCCTGGGTGCTGTCCCTCAGCTCTTCAGCTCAAGGCTAGCACTCTGCCACTTGAGCCACCGCACCACTTCCGGCCTTTTCTGCTTATGTGGTACTGAGGAATCGAACCCATGGCCTTATGCGTGCAAGGCAAGCGCTCTACCACTGAGCCACCTTCCCAGCCCCTAGCTCATTACATTTTAAGAAATTAGAAAGTCTTAAAGGAGTAACATGAACTTGACCTAGTGAAATATTGTTATAGAAATTTCTGATCTTTAAGATTATGCATCCTAAATAGTTGTAGTCAATGGAGTGTGTGTTTGACTCTTTCTCTAACTTATTTCACCTATTCAAATCTAGAACCTGCTCAGTTGTGTAAATCAGAGCAGCGTCCATCTTCCCTACCCGTTGGACCTGTATTAGCAACCTTGGGACATCATCAGACTCCAACACCAAATAGTACAGGTACAGATTTGTATAACCATTAGGACTTATAATTCTCCACTAACATTTGAGATTTGTGTTTGATTACTAATGGGAAGAAGGTTTGAAGAAGTGTGATATGTATTTCTATTGGAAATAGCTTAATTTTTTATCATGTTTATAGTTCCATACATGACATTGGAACCTGAATGAACCAGCAGTTTTAGTAATTTAAGAAAAACTAGAATAGAATGTATGTTGCATGTGTATGTTAAGAATGACTTGGGGATCCATATCACATTGTTTTAAAAATGAATTACTCAGCCGGGCACCAGTGGCTCATGCCTGTAATCCTAGCTACTAAGGAGGCTGACGTCTGAGGATCACAGTTCAAAGCCAGCCCAGGCAGAAAAGTCTGTGAGACTCTTCAATAAAAACACCAGAAAACTGGAAGTGGCACTGTAGCTCAAGTGGTAGAGTGCTAGCCTTGACCTAAAGAGCTCAGGGACAGGGCCCAGGCCCAAAGTTCAAGCCCCACAACCGACCCAAAAAAAAAAAGAATTACTCACCAGACAGCAGTGGCTTACACCTGTAATCCTAGCTACTCAAGAGGCTCAGATCTAAGGATTGCAGTTTGAAACCAATCTGGGCAAGAAAGTTCATGAGACTTACTAAACTACCACACCCCCAGGAAGTGGAGCTGTGGCTGAAGTGATAGAGCACTAGTCTTGAACACAAAAGCACAGAGACATCCCTGAGTCCATTCCCTGAGTTAAAGCTCTAGGACCAGCATAAAAAAATAACCGCCCCCCCCCCCCCCCCAAAAAAAACAACCCTCTCAATTTAGACTGCATATTTTCTTATTGTAAAGGAATGAAACATGGAAGTATACAGAACAAAAGCTGAGAAGTCCTCAGTTCATCCCAATCATTTTTGTCTCTGTCTGTCTGTCTGTCTGTCTGTCTGTATACATCTCTAGTATGTAATTTTATTGCTATAACCTAAATGAGGTTATGTGTTTTCTGTGAGTGGCTCTTGTCATGTAATAGTAAATGATTCATTTGATCACATAATTAGGTCTACAGAATTCTTTTTATAGCTGCCTAAGCCAGTGGTACCTTTTTTTAGTAATGGAATATTGTTTCTATTATTTCCTCTTACAGCTATAGTTCAGTATATCCTGTTTAGCACCTTTGGCACACAGATGTTTTTACATTTTTGCCAATTAAATAGGCAAAAAATAAACACTTAATTTTCACTTACATTTTCTTAATTCATTTAGAATTATGGTCTTTATTCGCAGTGTTAGATGCTAGAATTATTGCTCATCTAGATGAGCATTTCATTTTATAAAGAACCAAAATAGAGTGTATACACTTAGGGCTTTTGACCCTCTTAATCAAGGTGGCCAGAACCAAAGGCATTATTGAACAGGTAGGTGCTCATCCTCTCTATTCTTCCAGACTTCTTTCTGGGTAGTTACACCTTGTGTAGTCATAAAATTTGCCATGTGGCTTTTACCCACTTTGCATTTGAATCAGTAAAGATATTAATGCTGTACTATTTATTTATTTGGCCAGTACTAGGGTATGAACTCAGCACCTTTCACTCTCACATAACTTTTTTGACGCAAGTTGGTGCTCTTACCATTAGAGCCGTATGTCCACTTCCTGCCTTCTGCTGGATTATGGGGGATAAGAGTCTCTTGCATTTGTCTTCCTAGGCTGATTTCAAACTAGAATCCTCAGATCTCAGCTTCATGAGTAGCTACGATTACATATGGTGCCTACAATTAATTTAATACTTAATAGCATGGATGGAAGATGCCTTCTGAATCTTGAAAGAAAAAAATAAGTCAATAAGAAATTTTTTATTAATGATCTTGGGAAAATGTCAGTGAGCAAATGGGTAATGAAGTTGAAGATTGGGGCTGGCATCTATATTTCATAGGCTTATATCACATTTTACTCATTGTAAAAATAATACCTAAGAGTTTTGTTTTGTGCTATGTATATTGGAGAATGTTAGAATTATGAGACAGCCTAAAATAAATATGATATGGATGTATATTATATAAATATGTTTACAAATATATACTTATTTATTTACATTAAATATATACATTATATGTAACTAATTACCAACATAGAGCAAAAAAGGAGCAAGAAATCATCATGTATCCACTCTCAAAAAATTTTAGTTCTCTACATGTAATAATAAGTATTTCATATGGTTACATAATTATATATATTTACATATTATTTATAATATATACTTATACATTTTATATTGTAAATATATGCTCATATATTATAAATATATGCTTACATATAACTACAAAAAAGAAACAAGAAATCATGTATTTGCTCTCATAAAGAAATTTTAGGTCTTTGGTTTGACCTTTTCAGACTGATTTTCTTTTTCTTTTTTTTTTTTTGGGGGGGGGGGGGGAGTCCAGTCGTTGGGCCCTGAACTCTGGGCCTGGGCACTGTCCCTCAGCTCTTCAGCTCAAGGCTAGCGCTCTGCCACTTGAGCCACAGCGCCGCTTCCAGTTTTTTTCTTTTTGCTTATGTGGTGCTAAGGAATCGAACCCAGGGCCTCAGGCATGCAAGGCAAGCGCTCTACCACTGAGCCACCTTCCCAGCCCTGATTTTCTCTATAGACCAATTTTCGTTGGAATATTTGCTTGCTACTTAATTATTTGTAATTCCTTGTCTATTTTTTAAAATTTTATTTTATTGTAAAGATGCTTTACAGGAGGGTTGTCTATTTTGTTCCTATTACAATTAGAGACAGTTTATTTTCCTCCCCTTCTGCTATTAGAGAACAAATTTGTTAAGGTTAGCTTCCTTTGGAATTGTCACTATTTTACCTTTTTAGGCTACAAACTTTGGTTTTAGAAAGTATTTTTGTGAGCATGCAACTAGCTGAATTGCTCTTAACTGCTGAATCAAAGGTACGGGAAATGACACACACACACACGCACGCACTCTCTCCAGGTGCAGCCCAGCATTTGACTGCTGCTGTTTCCAATTTCATTTAGGCCTGTAGGCTTAGCTTTGATTGCCAGCTGTCAATTAACTTTAATCTCCACCAAACATTTAGAGCAGACTGGCATAACTTACAGACAGCCTTAGCTGTTGGCATAACTTACAGACAGCCTTAGCTGTTCAGTAAATTAGATTGATCTCAGTATTTTGATTGATACTGTTTTTGTTATTGCTTTAATACTTAGTATACACATTATCTCAGATTAGATGATAGTCTTCTTTCTCTGATCTCCACTAACTTCTGTCTCTAGTAAAACTCTTTAGAAATATGTTCTTCCTAATCTTCCTTTCCATATTCTTCCCATTGTAGCCACTGCCTTAGGTTTAAGTAGAAAAGAAATGAAACACTTGGATAATATATTCTCAGAGCTTTGAGTAAGGTTTTGTGTTTTCAATGTGACTATAGTTTAAAAAAGTTAATAGAATGTGATATTTGGGATAATATTTAACCATTTATGTGGTCTTGCTATTCTATTTGCCTTTTCACTAGCTCTAGATATCTAGGTTTACAGCATAAAAGCCTTGGGTCTCCATTAGTATTGGAATCTGTTGTAGGATTTCTAGTACCAAAATTCACATAATCAAAAGAGCACTCTTCCTAATATTAAATTAATTTTAAGTTATAGAGTGAGGATATGGAGGTGTTTATTTAAGAGGCTAGAAGGGTTTGTAGCTCATTGATAGAGTATTTGACTAACAAGTGTGAAGCTCTAGAGTTCAATCCATAGTACCACAAAAAAGAACAAAAACAAATAAATATAAAACAAAAAGCTACATCTCCATTCTATAACATGATTTTATACTTTTTTTAACATGTAGTATAGACATATCTACCAACTTAACCAAATTTTAGAAAGGTATGCCTTGTCTTCATCTCTTTAATTACCAATTTTTTTTTTCTAATTAAAACTTTTAAACTTTCTAGGCAGTGGGCATTCACCACCTAGTAGCAGTCTAACTTCTCCAAGCCATGTCAACTTGTCTCCAAATACAGTCCCAGAGTTCTCTTACTCTAGCAGTGAAGATGAATTCTATGATGCTGATGAATTCCATCAAAGTAGCTCATCCCCAAAGCGCTTGATAGAGTAAGTATATAAGCAAATGACTGCTGATTTTTTTTTAATGTTATTTGACTTAAAAATTACTGTTAGTGACAGACTTTCCTTATAAAATCTGTTGGACAGGCTTATTTTTCATTTGCTCAATAGCAAAGTCAGTTCTGTGAGTATTTTACTCTTTACTTAATCTAAATGAGATAAAGACCATCAGATGTGATAATATACCAGTAATGTTAGAGTAACTCTTGTCTTTTCTATAGCAGCACCAGCATCACAAATTAGAAATTACTGATACTTATTTTTCTAAGTCATATAAAATAATCATATAATCAGACATTGTACTATGTGGAAAGATGATACAGAAGTTAAAAAGATCATGTCTCTGCTCTGAAATAAATTAGGCTGTTGTGGAGAACCAACAGGCCATGTATAAATCAGAAGTTTTGGTATGTTGTCAGTCCATTTGGACTGCTGCTTAACTAGGTAGTAGAATTACAATTTGGTAGTAGAAATACGGTTCTCAAAGTTGTGGATATTGGGCCTGGCAGGGTTGGTGTTTAGTTGAGAGTTAAGTAGCTGTCTGGTTGCTTTCTGTTTAAGTAGAGGGTGCCATCTTTCTGTGTCCTCACATGGTGAAAGAACTCCCTGGAGTCTTTTATAGAGACAAGAATTCCATGAATAGGGGCTGGGAAGGTGGCTCAGTGGTAGAGCGCTTGCCTTGCATACATGAGGCCCTGGGTTCGATTCCTCAGCACCACATAAGCAAAAAGAAAAAAGCCTGGAAGTGGCGCTGTGGCTCAAGTGGTAGAGTGCTAGCCTTGACCTGAAGAGCTGAGGGACAGCGCCCAGGCCCAGAGTTCAGGCCCCACGACCGGACCCCCCCCCCCCCCCCCAAAAAAAAAGAATTCCATGAATAAAGGTGTTGACCTCATGACTTGATCCCATGCAAAGGCTTCTCCTAATAATATACATTGGTGATTACGTTTCAACATAGGAATCTGGGGAGTACACAGGCATTCATTCAGACCATAGCACGTGCACAGAAAGCCATGGGGCATTTTGAAGTCTTGAGAAATCCAAAGAGTGTTCTCAGAGGAGAGAGATGTCATCCTGAGTTGTGATGTTGATGAGAGAAGGGATCTAGTGGTGAGGATGGCTGGATGGCATGTTTCCATACAAGAGGAACCTGGTAAGAAGGAAGGGACGCTGACAAAGCCTGGGCCTGAAAGAATCCTTTAGCCTTATAAGAATTCTGAGCATTTTCCTCTGAACAATGGTAGTGGCTGGTTTTATTTGCCTGTTAAAAATTATGTAGAATTAGATGCAGAGAATTTGATTACAGGTTAAAAAAACAAACACAAAAACTAGCCAATCCTGGAAGTAAACAGAGAAGTGTAGGTGATTTAGCCTAAGATGATAGCATTGGGAATGGAAGTATGTGCATTCTAGAGATACTAAATTTTGACAGTTTTTCCCTCATTAGAAATTATTGATTTCTTTTTTTTTTCGGTCGGTTGTGGGGCCTGAACTCTGGGCCTAGGCACTGTCCTTCAGCTCTTCAGCTCAAGGCTAGTGCTCTACCACTTGAGCCACAGCACCACTTCCAGCTTTTTCTGTTTATGTGGTGCTGAGGAATTGAACCCAGGGCCTCATGCATGCAAGGCAAGCACTCTACCACTGAGCCATCTTCCCAGCCCTAGAAATTATTGATTTCTTAGCTGAATACAGTGAGTCATGCCTTAATCCCAGTTTCTTAGAGGGCAAAGATTGGATCACAGTTTGAAGTCAGTCTGGGCAAAAAGTTGATGATGATGATCCTAGCTCATAAACTCATCAAGCCAAGCATAGTGGTGTACAGCTATGTAGGAGGCAGAGATAGATCCAGCCAGGAGCATAAGATCTTGAGTTCAAGCCATAGTACTTGCCAAAAAGGAGGGGGCGGGGCAGGGGTTCTACAACAAGGAATGAAGAGAAGGAGGGAAAGAAAGAAATGTTCATCTATAATCGCATATATAATCTGTAGGGGTTTTGGTTTTTTTTTAGGTGGGGGGGGGGGGGGAGGGTTGGCCAGTCTTGGGGCTTGAACTTAAGGCCTGAGTACTGTTCCTGAACTAATTTTGCTCAAGGCTAGCACTCTACCACTTGAGCCACAGCACCACTTCTGGCTTTTTTTGTTTATGTCATACTGAGGAATTGAACCCAGGACTTCATACATGCTAGACAAGCACTCTACCACTAAGCCACATTCCCAGTCCCCTCTCCCCCCCCCCCCAAAAAAAAATTCTGTGGTTTTTTAAACAAAATAACTATCTAACATTTCTATGTATGTAACCAACTAATTGTTTCTGTTACCTATCTAGATTTATTGGTTTTAATTAGATTTATTGGTTGCCTAAATATCTTGCTATGAATTGATATTTATTTTGATTTAGCCTAAAAAGTGTTTGTTTTTAAGTTCTTCAGGATCTGCCTCAGTCTTAACACATAGCAGCTCGGGAAATAGCCTAAAGCGCCCAGATACCACAGAATCACTGAATTCTTCCATGTCCAATGGAACAAGCGATGCTGGTAGGGAGTCTTTGAGAACCCTTTCTTTCTTACAAACATTTTAGCAGCACAGTTTTAAACCCATGGAAAATGCTGTGTTCTGCTTTAGACCTTTTTGACTCACATGATGACCGGGACGACGAGGGGGAGGCAGGCTCAGTGGAGGAGCACAAGAGTGTCATCATGCACCTCTTGTCACAAGTCAGGCTTGGCATGGATCTCACTAAGGTAAGACCCACATCTGGCCTTTAAGTCTTACTGGGTAAATCAGTTGCCAACAATTGGGTGGTGAGTGTACTTGGGAAAAGTAGTATATTTTCTGTTTATACATGTGTCTTCTGATATGCTATATATGTAGATTAGTAAACTGGAAATTGTTAAGATGGATTAAATAAATGAAACTAGAATAACTTCATAGAAAGTAGTGTATGGATTAAGATTTAATTTTATTTGCAACAGATGAGAAATGGTATTTGGCTTTGCCAGTAGTAGGCAAAGTCTAAAGCAGTGTCTTGTACACAGAATCAAGATGAGCAGCCTTGTGGTCAAAGGACCTGTGTTGGCTACCTTTGCTAGTCAAACCAGGAGACTTTGAACAGATCTTGTCCTCTGTGATTGCATGCAAAATGAACAGTGGCCCACTTCAGTAGGCTGTTGTAAGGATTGGAAAAGGTGGTTAGTTTAAAATTGTCTGACACCTATTAAGTCATACTGTGACTGTGAATTTAAATTGCAAGCTCTCCATAGAATGTCTCATGGGTATAGGAGACTGTTGAGTGGTTATCTTTGTATATGCCTCTTTCACTTCTTACCACAACACTGCACCATGTTACAAAAAGAAACTAAAGGGGCTGGGAATGTGGTCTAGAGATGGAGTGCTTGCCTAGAATACATGAAGCCCTAGGTTCAATTCCTCAGTATCACATAGACAGGAAAAAAAAAATGGAAGTAGTCCCGTGGCTCAAGTGGTAGAGAGCTAGCCTTTGCTCAGGGACTGTGCCCAGGCGCTGAGTTCAAGAGCGGGGAAAAAAAAGCCAGGCGCCGGTGGCACACCTGTAATCCTAGCTGCTCAGGAGGCTGAGATCTGAGGATCACAGTTCAAAGCCAGCCCAGGCAGGAAAGTCCGTGAGACTTTTATCTCCAATTAACCACCAGAAAACCAGAAGTGGCACTATGGCTCAAGTGGTAGACCACTAGCCTTGAGCTGAAGAGCTCAAGGACAGTGTCCAGGCCCAGAGTTCAAGCCCCACTACTGACAAAAGAAGAAGGAAGAAGAAACTAAGAGAAGTTAATAACAATATAACTGGATCATTTTAAGAGAACTGAATGTCTAGTTTGTCCTGTGGTTTTTAAAATGTGGAGTCATTCCACTGTTGCTTTTGTCTTGAAGACTTGGATTATAGTAACTTCCATATTGATTGAATTATTATTCTACCCAGCTTTAAGAAGTTATTTAAATTTTGGATTTTTATCTGTTATGACAAAATCAAGCCCAGTACTATGGTTGTTGTCAGTAGGGAACTTGACTTAGTTTTAGATTTATAAGGCTAATTGCATAATAGATTCTCATAATTACAGTCATGTATCACTTAACCACAGGGAGATGGCCTGAGAAATGTGTTAATAGGTGATTTTATCATCATGGAAGCATTGTAGAGTGTGCTTACGCAGCCTAGATGATACAGCCTACCTCATACCTAGGTTATATTTTACTTTTATGGGACCAGTGTGATGTATGCAGTCTTGCCTTTGAGCAGTTACGTGGCTCATAACTATGTAATAAAAACTTATTCCTAAATGTAAGTGAAAATAGACACACAAGAATAACAATAATTTTTGGATCCCAACATGCAGGAATGCATGAGGTAGGAGAATACATACAGGTATCATATCCATATTGCTTTAATACGCCTTAGATTTGCATAACTTTGGTTCTGTGATATTGGAAAAGACATGCATTTCCTAGCATACTTCCCATTGAATCACATTGGCCCGAGCCAGGCATACATCCATATCTAAAGCAGTTACTGACAAGAATGTGTATGATTGGGTTAGATTAATCCACTCCCTCCCCTTGAGACTTGGCAACCTATAGCCAAACCTGAACTGAATCAGAGTTCTGTTCGGGGTGAAGTGGGGAGTTAGGTAAACAACCAAAGATACTTTCTACAAAAAAATTTATAATTTTTACTTCATGTAATCTTCTTTTCCAGATAGTATTATTTGGTCAGTAGCCACTGAAAGCTTGTTATATTGCCAATAATGTTACAATTATTTTACTGAATATGTCAAAAATTAGCCATTCTAGAAATCTTTATTGACAAAAATGGCTGTGATTTCCAAGTTTCTGAAATTTATACCCATTCTAAAGTACAATTTTACAATAATATCTTAAATTTGGATTATATTCTCCTGTTTCTAAAAATGTTCCAGATACTTTCCATAGTTTGTTTTCCAAATACCAAAAGTTTTGAACATATAACAAATCATATCCATTTATCTTCAAAATAATTGTAAGATATAACCACAGGATGTAATCATTCTTTTTTACCAGTATTTACAGAGGTTGAGTTAATTTTCCAGATCCTTCTCACAGTTAAGAAATTGTTCTTGGTTCTCAGTTCTCAGTTCTCCTTTATTACTGTTCTAGCAGTTTGACATAATGGCATGGGCTACTATATGTTAAAAACATTGAAGACCTGTTGAGTAAGAGCTCTCAGGAAAATTTATAAGTAGAAAAATTTGTTGGCTTACAAGTGAAATTAAACTTTTAAGATATTATTGGATGTTTTTTTCTTTCCTTTGAATTGCTAGCAAAATTCCTTTGTTCTATTTTCTACTAGACTTGGATCTTTTTTTTTTTTCTAAAAAATATATATTTTTTGTCAATTGTGGAGCTTGAACCCAGGTCCTGTGCACTGTCACTGAGCCCTTTTTGTTCAAGGCTAGTGCTCTGCTACTTTGAGCCACAGCTGTGCTTCTGGTTTTTGAGTAGTTAATTGGAGATAAGAGTCTCATAGGGACACAACTGTGATCCTCAGATCTCAGCCTCCTGAGTAGCTAGAATTATAGGCATGAGCCACCAGCCACCAGCAAAAATTTATTTTTATTTATTTAATTTTATTTTTGTTATTTCTTTTTGGTACTAGGGATCGAACCTAGGATGTTGCACTTGCTATACAAGACTAAAGGGGTTTTAATTCAGTGTCATTTTATGACTATAATGAATCTTGTATAATCTTTTTCATGTTGATTTGTTAGAATTATTTATGTATTAAAGGTATGTACCCCTGTTTTGTTTTTCCAGTATTCCTAATTTATAATTTTTAAGTCCTCCAAAAAAATAGGATCAGTGTTTATATAAGCTTTTCTGCTGGTCTAAACATATTTATGCTATAAATATACATATCTTTTGGGAAACCTGGAACTTGGATTCAGCCACCCAAGTTTGGGATACAGTAGCATCTATTGAAAGTTTCTAACTGTGTAATAGTAGCTTGAGAATGCTAGTATGAATAAAAGTCCTTTTACTGTAGGAATGAATCCAGTATTTGAAGATTAGCCCCAGAGTCAAACCCAGTTTCAAATTCATTTACAGTGAACAGTGAGAAAATTTCTTGTTGTATCTGTTCTTTTTCTCTACTATAATTGATTTTTTCATCATATGGCTATTATACAATTTGATAAAATAGTGTGTACACAAAGACTCAATAGATAGGTGATAGGAAAGAGTTGCTGCTGTGTCGTTGTTATGCTAGTAGAGGAAAGGAACTTGAAAAGAGAAAGTAACATTTGAACATTCAAATCTCCCTTTCTGTTTTTCATCTGCTGGGCATTTCTGAACCAGAACAGTTTGGGAAATGATTGTAAGAAGATGCCTAGGAAATAAATGGTGGATGTCACTATTATTAGACTTAGAGTACTTTTTAGTAGTTCTACCATCTGTTTAATGAGTTTATCAGTCATAGAATTAGACTTTCAAAAGTATCAAATGTGTGTTTTTCAGGTAGTTCTTCCAACATTTATTCTTGAAAGAAGATCTCTTTTAGAAATGTATGCTGACTTTTTTGCACACCCGGACCTGTTTGTGAGGTATTTAACTAAGTTGTTGCATAATAATAAGCCATAATGAATATTGTATTGATATGGAATGCCTATTTCTGAGATCTGAGGATCATTTTTCAACGCCATCCCAGGCAGGAAAGTCTATGAGACTCCTAACTTCAACAAACCACTCAGAAAACCGGAAGTGGCGCAGTGGTTCAGGTGGTAGAGTGCTAGTCTTGAGTTGAAGAGCTGAGGGACAGCATTCATGCCCAGAGTTCAACTGACAAAAAATAAGTTCTTTAGGACTGGGAATGTGGCTTAGTGGTGAGAGTGCTTGCCTAGCATGCATGAAGCCCTGGTTTCAGTTCCTCAGTACCACATACACAGAAAAAGCCAGAAGTAGCACTGTGGCTCAAATGGTAGTGTGCTAGCCTTGAACAAAGAAGCTCAGGGACAATGCCCAGGCCTTGAGTTCAAGCCCCAGGACTGGCAAAAAAAAAAAAAAAAAGGCAACTTTAAAGCATATTAAAGGTGGCTAACATTTCTAGGGTCAAAACTAAGAGGTTTTTTGTTTGAGACTTTGGCAAATACTATTAACATTTTTTGTACTATATCCTGATAATGTTCACTTAACTGAATTCAGCAAGCCTTTCTAAAATACCTGTTGTTTGTCAGGCATTTTGCTATGAATTGAAATGATAATTCTAAGTATAATACTTGAAATAATAGCCATATGTACAGGGAAAGAAGTAGGGTAAACGTGGTATTGATTTACAAAAAGGAGCATTCCCATCTCTTCTCATTGGTAGTAGAAAAAATTTCTTATAATAGATAATGTCCTAATCTCCCATTTCTGTTTATATCACTTGACCTTGCACCATATTTACTGAAACTATATAAATCACAAAGGTTGCACAGGGTATGTGCACACTAGTTAACACTGACATATATACTCCATTCTTGATAAAGATTTAAGAGAATGATTTAACTAGTTCCAAAAAGGAAAAAAAATTCAATGAATATGACAGTGTTGAAATTAATATGATCGAAGGTCAGACAAAATCCTAAGAGGAGCCGGGCGCTGGTGGCTCACGCCTGTAATCCTAGCTACTCAGGAGGCTGAGATCTGAGGATCCCGGTTCAAAGCCAGCCCGGGCAGGAGAGACCCTGAGACTCCTATCTCCAATAAACCACCAGAAAACCGGAAGTGGCGCTGTAGCTCAAGTGGTAGAGTACTCGCCTTGAGCTGAAGAGCTGAGGGACAGCACCCAGGCCCAGAGTTCAAGCCCCACGACCGACAAAAAAAAAAAAAAAAATCCTAAGAGGCTCAGATTGCCAGCCTTGAGGGAAAAAGTTAAGCAAGCCCTGAGTTCAAGCCCCCAGTACTGGCACCCAAAAACAAAATAAAAGCAATTTAACAGATAAGCTTTGTTGGTAACATGCAAGGAAAAATGAAAAGTATCTGTTCATCACATATACATTTGAAATTTAAAGTAGTTTATATTTGTGAGAATGTAAACTTTGTGTGGTCCCTAGGTAAACCACTTAACAAATTAAAAAAGTAGCCTGGCACTGAGACTCACCTTGTAATCCTAGCTACTTAGGAGGCTGAGATCTCAGGATCGCAGTTCAAAGTCAGCCTGGGCTGGAAGACTGTGAGACTCTTATCTCTAATAAACCACTTAGAAAACCAGAAGTGGCGCAGTGGCTCATGTGGTAGAGCACAAGCCTTGAGCTGAAGAGCTGAAGGACAGCATTCAGGCGCAGAGTTCAAGCCCCATGACCGACAAAAAAAAATTAAAAAGTACAAACCAGGCATTGGTGGCTCATGCCTGTAATTGTAGCAATTCAGGAGGCTAAAATCTGAGGATGGCAGTTCAAAGCCAGTCCGGGCAGGAAAGTCCATGAGATGCTTATCTCCAATAAACCCCCAAAAAGCTGAATGTGGAGCTGTGGCTTAAGTGGTAGAGCACTAGCGTTGAGCACAAAAGCTCAGAGCCAGTGCTCAGGTACTGAGTTTAAACCCCAAGACCAGCACCAAAATAAATAAATAAACAGAAGCACAACTAAGAAGCCAATGAAATGGAACACTTAAAATATCACATTGAAGCTAAGAGAAGCTGCAACAACCTTATAGCAAAGAACATAGACACAGACTCATTACCAGTTTGCCGGGAATCTTTACCACATGTGGTGTTTCTGCTCTAGCAAAACATGACACCTTTTCAGTGGGGACCGTGTTACTATTTTTTTTTAACCAACTTATTACTTGAAACTATAATATAGCCTGTTTGCTGTGTGTGACAAGGCTATGATATATATTTTTTCCTAGTGGTATGATTTTAAATGACCTTATATTGTTTTCCCACTATCTAGATGATGGCTATTTAACTTTCCCAATATGCTTCTTGTTATATGTGAAATAAATTTCTTATGATATCAAAAAAAATCACATTGATTTCCTAAAAGGAGCAAAAGAAATAATGGAACAAGGAACATTTAGAAAACATTTTAAGCCTATCAAATCAAAAATTATACTAAATATAAGTAGAATACGCCCTCTATTTAAGAGAACACAAAGGTCAAACTTCATTTTTAAAAAGAAGTATTATTTCAAAGGGAGAAACTTTAATAAAAGACACTGCTGGCTAAAGAGGAAGGATAGGCCCACAGATAGAGTTCACAGGTGAGGTGCCCACCTAGCATGCATGAGCCCTGGGTTCAATCTACAGTACTTCAGAGAAAACAAAAAGGTAAAGAGAAAAAGGTAGGCCGGGCACTGGTGGCTCACGCCTATAATCTTAACTACTCAGGAGGCTGAGATCTGAGGATCACAGTTCAAAGCAGTCCAGCCAGAAAGTCTGTGAGACTCATTTCCAAGTTAAGATAAAGTTACCAGAGGCAAGTAGAGTCATTTTGTAATAAAAAAATGAATTTTAATACTTATAAAGCGTATAGGTATGTGTAAACATAGCTTCAAGATACTTGCAGAAATTGGTGAGACTAAGTAGAGAAAGTTCCCTTTAGAACTGATTATTCTGCTTCCTAAGAAAATCAGTAACACTATAGGAGATCCAAACCTGAACCGAACTGACCTTTCTAAATACTACCAACAATTGTATAACATACTGCCTTTGCAAGAATACATAGAGGGCTGGGAAGGTGGCTCAGTGGTAGAGCGCTTACCTCCCATGCATGAGGCCCTGGGTTTGATTCCTCAGCACCAAATAAACAGAAAAAGCCAGAAGTGTCACTGTGGCTCAAGTGGTAGAGCACTAGACTTGAGCTGAATAGCTGAGGGACAGCGCCCAGGCCCAGAGTTCAAGCCCCACAACTGACCAAAAAAAAAAAAAAAAAATACATAGACTGTTCATCAGGATAGACCATAAACTTAGAGGCCTTAACAAGTTTAAAGTGACTGCAGTCACACATAATGTATTTTCTGACCACAAAAGAATTAATTTGAAATTGATGATACAAGCTAGCCACCTGTGACTCACATCTGTAATCCTAGCTACTCAGGAGGCCAGGATCTGAGGATCAAAGTTCAAAGCTAGCCCTTGAAGACAAATCCAAGAGACTTATCTCTAATTAACCTGCAAAACTTCAGAAGTGAGATGTGGCTCAAGTGTAAAGCACTGAGTTCAAGCCTCAGCACCAACACAGACACACAAAAGAGAAAGAAAAGAATTGATAACATATAAGTAAATCTACTTAGTAATAACATAGTACACTTACATGAAATTCTAGAAAAAAGCAACACTAAGTAATCTATGACACTAACCACTAGCAGTATTTATCTCAAGGAGAGGTAGTGATTGCTTCAAAAGGGGAAGAGGGAAACTTTTGAAATAATGAAATGTTCTGTGTCCTGATTAAGTGATGGTTAAGTAAATGAATATAAACAGTTGCGAAATTCTTCTAACAAAACACTAAAATCAGTTGGTTTAATTACATAGATTACAGCTCAGTTTGAAAATTAAATCCATATACACAGTTTCATCCACCAATGGCTCAGGGTGGACCGTGCTGAGAGACGCTGCGTCAGCTTGCATGCTGCCAGTAAGACATGTCAGTACAGTTTGTCTTTTTCTCTTCCAGCATTAGTGACCAGAAGGATCCCAGGGATCGCATGGTTCAGGTTGTGAAATGGTACCTCTCAGCCTTTCATGCAGGAAGGAGGGGATCAGTCGCCAAAAAGCCATACAATCCCATTTTGGGTGAAATCTTTCAGTGTCATTGGACATTACCAAATGATACTGAAGAAAACACAGTAAGTTCCGTGCTATGATTTTAATTAAGTTGTATTTTAAATAAGTTGTACTTAAGGTTTCTTAAGGGAGATAATAATGAATGCAATGATGAAAGATATTCACCAGAACTGGAGGTATGGCTCAAGTGGAAGGGCACCAGCTGTGAGAGGAAAAGTACAAGCGTGCAGGGCTCTGAGTTCAAACCCTGGTTCCAGTGCACAGACATGTGTGCACACACACATGCAGAGTGTTGTTACATGAACATAATGAGATGGAAAAAGAATGGAATGAGATGAGGGTGGAGATTGAGAAGTTAGGCCACACAGCGTCTTGTACATCTTAATTATAATTTTGTGGCTAGTCAGAATTTTATTTCTGTTTTGAAAAGACTATTATAATGGCCAGGTCCCAGTGGATTGATCACGCCTGTAATCCTAGTTTCTCAGGAGGCTGAGACTTGAGGATTGCATTTGCAAAGCCAGCCTGCCTACCTCCAGTTAACCAGTAAAACATCAAAACTGGAGATGTGGCTCAGTGGTAGAGTACTAGCCATGAGTGGAAAAGCTAGTAGTCCCTAAGTTCAATCTCCAGTACTGGCGCCCAAGTGCCCCCTCACACACACATGCAGATCAGTATAATGATTTTGTGAAAAATGTATTTAGGAGCAAGGAGAAAGGACATACTTGGAGGTGTATACTTTAGCACTTGGTGGTAATATCATTTACTGACAAGGATTGTGGGGGTGGGGGGATGAGACAAATGGAGGAGGAGGGGGTAATGTTAGACAGGAAGCATGCTACCTTACTTATGGAACTGTAACTCCTCTGTATATCATCCTGACAAAAAAAAATTTCAAAAAAAATAGGATTGGACTTGAGGGAAAAGTCAAGAATGCTGATTTGAAATTCATGTCTAAGACTGTTAGACATGTAAATAGAGCTGCCAGTTTGGAATTTCAGAGTGCGTACCTCAAGAGAGAAGTCGGAGCTGGAGATGGGACCTCTAGAGTTTATAGAGATAGCACCAGAAATTCCTAGATTTGTATGAATTTTATGGAAGAAGACAGCCAAGACGGTCGAAACTCTAGAGGGTGACCCAGAGTGAGCCCTGGGGCTCCGGCATGTAGAGGTTAGTTTGAAGACAGTGACCAGCAAATACGTGTTAAAAAGGCATTTAGGAATAGAAATGGAAAATTCCCTCATCCACAGCGCCTCGCACATAATCATCCTTTAGCAAATGTTACTTTCCATATCTTTCTCATTCTAATTAACATTATATATGATCTTTGCTAAAGTTATAATCTGATCTTGTTTATTTGCCAGCTATAAGTGCCTGTTCTGTGCCAGTCCTATCCCTGAGTTAGGCATATGAGCCTTTAAGAATGTCTTAGTGTATTTAGGGAGACCAACACAAAGCAGTAACTAAGTGCCATAAAAGAAATACACATGGAGTGCTTAGTGTTAGTAATGGAGGAAACAGAGGCTCTAGTTATCCGATTCTGCATGGTCATTTGTTCCCACAGCCAAAGAAAATAATGTTTTATTTTCTTGCAGGAACTAGTTTCAGAAGGACCAGTCCCCTGGGTTTCCAAAAACAGTGTCACATTCGTGGCTGAGCAGGTCTCCCATCATCCACCCAGTAAGCTCCCAGTTCCTCTACAACGTCCACTAATCAAACCATTCTGTATGAAGGATCATTAAGAGCTCCTCAGCTCCTCAGTTGTATGATTAGCTACGTGATCCCTGTTATCTTAACTAGAAATTTGATTGATTCCTCTTACCTGTTCTTTGCATAAATTTTAAAGACTCTTTTACCATCTCTGTATAAAAAGAAGGGATTTGGGTAACCACTGTTAAATGCTTCTAAACTCATTTTACACATAGTGCCATAGAATCTGTAGCAACTTTGAGCTAGTTTGTATAATCGGTGTGTAGTTGTTTTGCACAATATATCCTGGACACATACTCTGAGCATCTTTTTATTCGATATGGTATGAAGACTGGAGGTATTGAATAGGCCTACATCGAGGTGGCACATGGGTAACCTTACCAGGAGAAGAGATGACCCTTCAGATTTTAAACTCAGATTGGCTGCCACCTCATGTTTCAGGGTAGGTCTGGTCCATTTGGTTCTGAATGCTTGCTTTCAGTGGGGAAAAGGTACAGAAGGCAAGTACACACCTCATGACTTAACTTGAAGCTGTTCTTTTAGGGGGTAGATGGTTTTCCTATAGAGTCAGTTTTGTGCTGTTGTTTTAGCTTACATTAGTTATACAGAGAGGAATTTGATACATTTCCACAAGTTTACAATATGCCCTTTGAGCCAGTTTCTTTTGGTCATGTAACTATAGATCTCTAATGCATTACTGAAAAAACATTTTCTATTCAGTTTCAGCTTTTTATGCCGAGTGTTTCAACAAGAAGATACAATTCAATGCTCATATCTGGACTAAATCAAAATTCCTAGGGATGTCTATTGGGGTACACAACATAGGGCAAGGTAAGCCTATGGACATTAGGTTGATTATGTTTTTTGTTGTTGGCCCCTGAGGCTTTACCTCAGGACCTGGATGCTGTTCCCAAATTGTTTAGCTCAAGGCTAGTGTTCTACCACTTTGAGCCACAGTGCCACTTCTAGTTTTCTGGTGGTTAATTAGAGATGAGAGAATCAGATTTTCCTGCCTGGGCTGGCTTTGAATTGCAATCCTCAGATCTCAGCTTCCTGAGTAACTAGGATTACAGGCATGAGCCACCAATGCCCCGCTTAATTATAATGTTAATATGTGCTGGACACTTGGAAGGAAAATGGCCCCAGAAAGCCAAACTGGATGCCATGGTTTGTGCTTAAGCATGTGTATTAGGTGAGGTGAGGTGGGGTACAAACCAGGTCATCCCTAAAATGAATGGAATACCCATCAACCAGAACCTTATGGCCAATTGATACCAGAGATTCTGCTTCTTCTCTCCTCAGGTTGTGTCTCATGCCTAGACTATGACGAACATTACATTCTCACATTCCCCAACGGTTATGGAAGGCAAGTAGACCCTACTGTTCCATACATCATGCTCTTCTCCTTCTTCCTGTCAGCCTTACCCAAGCATTTTTGATTTTGCAGGTCTATCCTTACGGTGCCCTGGGTGGAATTGGGAGGAGAATGCAGTATTAATTGTTCCAAAACAGGCTATAGTGCAAATATCGTTTTCCATACTAAACCTTTCTATGGAGGAAAGAAGCACAGAATTACTGCTGAGATTTTGTAGGTATTTCTTTTTCTACCTCGGTGCTCTTCCATTTTTCTGAAATACTTTTTTTTTCCCTTAAACTTGTCAAAAACTGACCATTTTGATAGTCTTATCTTTGTAAACGTGTTTACAAACGTGTTATATGTCAGTCTATTCCTAAAATCCTGTATTAAAAGAAGACCTAAACGATCAGAGGCCAAGGATGGGAACCTAATTATCAGTGGAAAACTAGGTTTTCCCTAGGTTGCCTATGTCACATAGACCACGTATCATCTCCCAAGTCTTCACAGTGCTTCCCATGCCTTCGCTGGGTAAAAAGAGGAACCATCACAAGTAGCAGGCATTTATTTGGCTTGGTTCCAGGAAAGATAGCTGTGTTAATAGGTGATTGATGGGTTCCCAGCCAACCTGAAAGAACAGTCTGCAGTGTTGGGACACCGGTTTTTCTCTTCCCAAAAGGCCTTGTTGGGAACTATATCTAAGATGGGAGATGCATGACGGGTTAATGGGCTTTCTAAGGGAATTTAACTGGAGTAACAAAATCAGCATCCACAAATCTTGAGTAGGATGGAGTGGGTCTTGAACATAAAAATGGAGTTTACTAAGAAACAGTATAAAATAGAAATAAGAAAAAAGGTTTGCAGTAGGAAAATATGGGCAGAGCTTAGTGAGCAGCCTAGTTCACATGGTGACAGCCACTCCCTAAACATCAGTTGATGGACATAGGATATTCAGAAAAGATATTATGAATGGGCTTGCTCCTCAGAACTCGAGAGATGGTAACTAATGGCTACAGGAACTGCTAGCTCAGCAGAATTTTCTACACCCTCAGTTGGTAAGTTCAGAGCCCCTGGTAGAGTACTTAAAATTTGAGGTTTGAGCAATCAGATAAAGTACTACTTTACATGGGTCACACTCAATCTTTTTCAATTCTGGATCCCTTTATTAAGAACCACCCAAGAGGGCTAGGAAGGTGGTTCAGTGGTAGAGTGCTTGCCTTGCATGCATGAGGCCCTGGGTTCAATTCCTCAGCACCACATAAGTGAAAAAGCCAGAAGTGGCACTGTAGCTCGAGTGGTAGAGTGCTAGCCTTGAGCTGAAGAGCTGAGGGACAGCGCCCAGGCCCAGAGTTTAAACCCCATGACCGACCAAAAAAAGAAAACCATCCCCCAAGATTTTTATGTTGGTTTAGGGAATCTACAGCTCATTAGCATTCTGTTCAGAGCTCTCCTTCTCACAGTAGACCTGGCAAATCCAGTTCCATTGTGCTGCTTTCACTAAAGGCTTCATAGTCATTCTGTGTTCTACTCTTCGTAGATAGCTACACTGGCCACACTATTGGGCAGAATAATTTTCACTTTGATACTAACACAAAATGTTTCCTTTCCCTGTCTAGTTCTCCAAATGACAAGAAGTCTTTTTGCTCAATAGAAGGGGAATGGAATGGTGTAATGTATGCAAAGTATGCATCAGGGGTAAGAACCTATGTTTTGTCACATTTTAAACTACAATGAATTGTCCCTTATTTTTGCTTTCCTCATATGGAACCACTTTCCTTTCCCTATCTTCTAATAGTGCAGTTAATAGTATGATCTTTTTTCTCTCAAAACAGAACAATGTATGTAAAAAAATAGCTGACACTTAGTAGCCACTCAAATGTTGTATATAAAAGTGTGATTTTTGTCAAACCAAGGGCTAAAACTAATTTGCATGTTGTTCATATGCATTGTTTTAAGTTACTGACTGCCTCTCAGTAGGGATAAATAAGTAATAGTCCTGCTATCAAGAAACTTTTATTCTGTATAACACCTATGAAGTGATCTCATTAAGTCAGAAAGAAAGGGGATCTGAGTAATAGAACTGATGAACTAGACTTTGGAAAGAACTTGCAAAATATAAAAAAAAAATCTTCAGACAGGCTGCTTAATTTGGATTTGTTGCGAGGGGTCTAGCTCCCTAAGGAATTATATCCCTAGCATGTTGGAATGCCAGACCTGTGGACCTTCGGCACAACTGCATTTTAGGTTTAAGACTACATATGAAACTACGGCCTTAAGATACTTGGGATTTATCTGTCAAAGTCTTCTGGAAGGATTGACTTTCCTCCAATAATTTTGAATAAGAGACTTGTCTACTTTTGCTTTCTAGGAAAACATGGTCTTTGTAGATACCAAGAAGTTGCCTATAATCAAAAAGAAAGTAAGGAAGTTGGAAGATCAGAATGAATATGAATCGCGCTGGTAAGGAAACATAACCGGAACAGTCACCTAGTGCTTACCCAGTGTCTAAGCATAGCTTAATACAGACTAAGCTCAAATGGTTGAATTCCTTTGTTAGGACCAAACACTTTGTAGCTTTGTAACCATTAAAGTTTGCTTCCTGTGTTGCAGTAGGAATAGTCTCGAAAGAAAGCCACATCTTATACCCATAAGCCTTTCCAGCTAGCCTTTTGGCCCTGTTAAAAATCACATTTTAAATGTTTTTTTCTGAAATAAAATTTAGCCCCTATGATCTAGCCTTGAGTTCTAGAGAGGTTAGCTGACCCGCCAAAGCTGCATAGGAGAGCCAGAAGTAGACTCCCACATCTCAGCTGCATGTCCTTTCCCCTCTGTTGTCCTTATCCTATGTCTCTGTTCCCTTGCTCCCTTACTCCCTTTGGTAACTAGCAGAGGACTCTTCTGGGCTTTTTTTTTCCCCCCACTAGCTTTTTTCTTCTTCCTACAGCACTTAAAAGCCATTCGATTTTTAGTTATGTTATATTCAGACATAGCTGTAGGCATTCATTCTCAAGAGTGCCAGCTTCTCTTGATCTCTCTTCTTTAGCCTTTGGAAGGATGTCACTTTCAACTTAAAAATTAGAGACATTGATGCAGCAACTGAAGCAAAGCACAGACTTGAAGAAAGACAAAGAGCAGAAGCCCGAGAAAGAAAGGAGAAGGAAATTCAATGGGAGACAAGGGTAAGCTTCTACCTCTCCTGTTATTCCCCCCTGAACACTGATGTATACAGTGAACGCTGAAGAAGTCAAGTATCAACCACTATTTATGAATGTGTTGTTCTCTGGTCCCTACCTGAAATTCAACCATTGACATGAAAGAATACATATGTGTAAGTACAAAGGAAATGTAACAAAATTTTCTGTCTCTCTTCCAGTTATTCCACGAAGATGGAGAATGCTGGGTTTATGATGAACCATTACTGAAACGTCTTGGTGCTGCAAAGCATTAGGTTTGGGAAACACAGAGCTTGCACCTGATGACCAGGGTAGTAGGCATAAATAACTAAGCAACAATCTTCCTTTGGGAGAACCTATCACTCCCTTCTTATTGCAGTGGTTCCTATCTCAGGGATACTGGACTTTCCAGCGCAGATGAACAATTAAAACAGGAAAAGCCTCCCATTTTTTTTTCCTCTGTGGCAGTTAAAATTTTGACTAAAGTCTTGAGCAAAACTATAGGTTTTGAAACAAATCCCATGCTTTTGAAAGCATTTATGAACCCAAGTCTCTCACTCTGCACTCTAGTTCCAATGTTAGACATACAACCTGTTTCCTAGGTCATATAATCTTGGGTTCTATACATATACATATATATATATACACACATATATATATATACACACACACATATTCACACGTATATAAATCTGTTGACAGTTTTTTCATAAACCATCTCTGGTTCCTCTGAATTTAGATAATTAGCGCAATGTATGAAAATCAAGTGTTAGGAAATTTCATGATTTCTCCTATAACGACTTTTATTTTGGAAATGAACTATTAAATTGTATCTAAACCTGGATTACAATTTAATTATACTCAATGCTTCTTTAAGGCTTCATAAAGTAATTTTTCCAACCTTTTTAAAAAAATGTGTGCTGCTTTTATTATCTTTTGTTAAACTTGGAAGCCAATTATTTGGCAACCCTGACTACAGGAGATAACTTTCCTTATATTCTGACTTAAGCTATTATCATACTGTTCCTCCCAGTAATATTTTTTTGCCTTCTAGGACTTAGGAGTATATCTACCCACAGTAAAATGAAACAAAAAGAATGCCACAGGCAGCAGATGGCTCATTCTGGAGGGAAATACAGAACTATCTTTATTTAAAAATAATTTAAAAAAACAACAGGCACCTAGCACGTAGGTACTTGAACAAATGGTTACATAAAGAAACTCTCCTGAGGACAGCTTTGCAATCTCAAATGTCTGATCACACTTGGCCCACCCAGTAATTTCTCTGCCAGGTTACCTGCCAGTTCCTGCAGTAACCCTGGATTTATTAGTATTCGTAAATCAAATTCTGGAATACCAGTGCGAAATCCAGTGAAAGCCCTAAGGCCGTAGTAGTGTACAACTCCATAAAATACAAACAAATCTTTAAATACACATTGCTTCAGGCCAACGAGACTGCAGTTTATTGGACTATTTTATGGTAGGGGAGAAGGTTGAGTGTTGCTGTAAAAGCCCTGATATCAGTAATGGGGATGGTAGAGTCTGCCAACAGAGGAGAGGGTGGCAGGTAGGCCAGCTGCATCCCTTCACAAGAAGAGTTGGGATCCTCACCAGAAGAGCTACCATCCTCTTCCAGTTCATACTTTCCATATCCAACAACCTGAAAGAGGAAAAGGCTCAAGGTGAGAAGTATACCATCAGATTGGGGCAAAGACAACCTAAACTCAAATAAATGACAAGACTGGAAAGAACTCACATGAACGCTGAGCATTTTACTTCCTGATCCTCTATGAGCCTTGAACCAGTTGACTAAGTCTAATTTTGAGAATGACTTCAGTGCTTCAATCTTAGAGGAAGGGAAGACAGAAAAAAATTTTTAAAAAATAACTCCCAATCGCTTGGCATCTGAGCAACTTTAATTCTTCTCCATCTCATCTTGCCCCTAGCCTCCCAGAGAAAGATAAAGATGAGCCTCTACAACAACACCTTTCTATTTTGTAGCAAGTAAGCAATACCGTAAAGGAAGCCAAATACCATATCCTGAGCCAGAAACCCAAGTGTTACCTCATTTTACATTGTATACTTTAGATGAATTTTATCTTGCTTCATTAAGAAAATTGGGAGTTCTGGCTTGAACAAGCCTTTTCTTTTTAATAACCTCTCAATATCCTTTGATTATTAAAGACACAAAAGTCCTGTTATCTCTAGCAGAACCCTCTTCCTCCTCCACAAAACCTTATAGTCAACCTCAATAAAAAGCAAATAGATGGAGGAGTACATGTTGTTAAGGTTTCATATGTTGCTCATACAGAGGCAAATAAGCAAATAAACCAGGTCAGCATAAATGTCCTGGGTTTCTCTTCCACACAATACTAGTTTGCACATTAAATAAGGCTCTATGAAGTTCATCAGGGCTGTCTTGCTCTAAAAATCATACCTCATGGGCAAGGCGGTCAAAAAGATACTGCTGTGTCACTACTTCATTCCAGTTCCTGTCTACCTCTTCCCCAAGGTGAGTGTCCTCGCACTCTTTGAGCTTGATCAGAGCTGTAACCTGTTCCCACCAAAGAGATACATATTCAAACATCATGTTGGCACCAATTCCCCCAGAACAAACCTGACTTGTAATAAACCTGTCTGCCATGGGGATAAGGGAGAAGGCTAATGGGTCATGTCAGATTGTATGGGCTACAAAGCTCAAAAACTGGCCAGCACGTAAGGACTGTGAAGACTGGTTTTGCTCTCTTAAAGGCTTATGAAGACCAGACTGGTACTGTCACCTGGGTATTGAATGCCTCTTCAGTGAGGTTCTCAATCTTCTCCTCAAAGCTGGAAAGAAACTCTTCTATTTTCTTATCAACAACTTCAGAGCTGAAACAAATGAAAAGTTACCAGAGACTTGATTTCAGGCAGAACTCAAAGGTAGGGTGAGGTAGGACTAAGGTGTATTCTTAAGAAAAAAGCTGAAATGTCTCCCAAAGCCATATAACTGTACCCTAAACCAGAGAGAAAAGAGAATGGGGGAAAACCTCCCTCTCCCAAAACCTGCAGCCCAATTTCCTAGTACCCTCATACTGAACTGGGCCTGGCCATTTCAAAACTAAAAACTATCAAAGCCTTACACCTCAGTTCTAACCTGAATGGCAAGTCAGGCATCTTCACCTTTCTTGGCAAACCCTCCAGAAGGACTTGATCTAAATACTGCGAGACCTTCATCAGTACTAGATCAAGCCATCTCCTCTCCCATGCCCCTGCACTGCTTGGTCAGAATCTCCTCTCCCATGCCCCTGCACTGCTTGGTCAGAATCTCCTAAGAGTTAGTAAGAAGGTACTTCTAGCTCCCCACCTTGGTCCAGAAAGAGCAGTATGGACCTGCCCACTCCTTTACTTACTTGTATTTCGTTGCCTGGGTCCCCACAGTGACAGAGAATCCTAAAATCCCAGATGTATTCCTACAGGTTGGGTAGACATGATACCTACAGCCAGAGTGAAAAGTCACATGAGCTCATGTGGACACCTTGTCCTGTCCTCCAAGGTATAAGATATGAAGAGGGAAGCCTTCCACATATCCTTAACTGGATGGATCTGGAGGGTTAAAGAGGCAGCTACTTCTTCTTCAGGTCAAAGTGTCCACTCCAGTGCTGAATAGGGAACCACAAACTAGCTTTCCCATGCTTATCCTGAAACCTGAACAAACTGAAAGCCTGACCATAATCCAAAACGCAAATTTTAGAAATTCTGACAATGGTAACTTGAAAGGCTGCTTAGTCAGGATATCTCATCAACTTTAGCCTGCAAAGCCAGGACTACACTCTGAAGAGTTCAGTGTCAGCACTTACCCAAGAGTCTGCTTGGTTCGGAGGAAGTCAAAGCAAGGTTCTTCCATATGCATCTGTAATTCAATATATTACTCAGCCCAATCTGAAGCAGAGAAACCTCTATTTCTTGCCCCTGAGACATTCATATAATACCTCCAGAGTCCAGCATCCCTTATTGCCTTTTGCCTAAATGGATGCAGTCACTTAAAAAAATGACCACGATTACCTTAATGATCATCTCTTACTCCAATCAAAGATCACCGACCACCCCAACCCCAAGGCAGAAACTCTGGGCCTCACAGTGGGTCAGAGGTTCCTGAACACACTGACTGCACACGTACTTACCACGAGCAGCTCCATAAGAGTATATTCGCGTAGACTCCTGGGACCTGACTGAAAGGAGAAAGAGACCAGATCAACTGAATATTAATGGCTCACAGGCTTTTAATAATCTAGCTATCCTTGACAGTAATTGTTGAACAATTTTATCTGTCTTCTCATTAACCTGCAGGTCTGAGAACAGGAATCATGTTCTATTACCTGTATTCCCAGCACTAACATGGAAGTACACATAAACACACAAGTGAATTCAATAATATTTAACCTGCCAAGTCCTGCCTGGAGGATCCAGGAAACCTACAGGACACATTGTAGACTCAAGTACTTGTAGTGCAAAGCCCTAAAGAGTACAACAGGGTATGTTTTGAGATCATGAAGCATTATCTAGAGTATTCCTCAAATGAAGAAACAACAGGAGCTTCTGAAGTCATCCATACTCAGAGAAACAGCAGTTGATCAGAAAAATACCCAAGAGGCAGATCAAAAGACTCACTGACTCATTAAGATGATGTAGGGTAAGGTTCACACTAACAGGGATGGCCATGTCATAAGGCAGTAAATTTACTTAGAAAACCAGCTAAAAAATAACAAGAAAAGACTCAGGCCCAGAAAGGAACAACAAGTTCACAAGGCCATGTCTCGCAACATTCAAAACAGGGATCTTCACAAAGCCTGACAGGGAAGCGGCTTCTTTATGCAGAGAACCTTGGACTACAGTGGCAAGTCAGGGGACCAGGGTGGAAAGGCGATTCAGAGATCCTCATAATTCTAGAAGTAAGAGGGGCTAGTCACAGCCTAAAGCAGGCTATGATGAGCAACTGGAACTGCTGAAAGGTATTTATTCAAAGCTCTCCCCTCCCCCACTCCAGAATGGCAAAGAAAGAATCTAAAAACAGAACACATCTGAAAATGGAATACATTTCCAAGACTTTGAACCTTAGGTTTGTCGTCTGTGAAACAAGTAATAAATCCTTCCAGATAAACCTGTATGGCTCTTGTAGTCATTGTCTGGTTGTACTTTTCTTTCCAAACTGTTCTTTTAGCTACTCAGGAAGCTGAAGGTCATGATTTAAAGCCAGCCAGGGCAAAAAAGTCCATGAGACTCTTCTCTTCAACTCACTAGCAAAAAGCCAGAAGTGGAGGTGTGTCGAGCAAAAAGGCCAAGTGAGAGAAAGTATTAGGCTCTGAGTTCAAGCCCCAGTATACCAAGCACAACATAACAATTACAGTAATAATGATGATGGTTCGCTGATTGATGAACCAACACCTCATTGTAGTCAAAAAAGATTCTATTTTACTGATAAGCAATTTTTAAATGTGGATGCTTGAAGAGGACAGATGGCCCCAAACAACAATGTATAGGTTTGGGGGCTGGGAAGGTGGCTCAGTGGTAGAGTGCTTGCCTCACATGCATGAGGCCCTGGGTTCGATTCCTCAGTACCACATAAGCAGAAAAGGTTGGAAGTGGCGCTGTGGCTCAAGTGGTAGAGCGCTAGCCTTGAGCTGAAGAGCTGAGGGACAGCGCCCAGGCCCAGAGTTCAGGCACAATGACCGACCCCCCCCCCCCCCCCCCGAAAAAAACACAAAAAACTGTATAGGTTAACAACAAAAGGGCAATTAAGGTTAACTTATTCTTAGGGACTTTGGACCTCTTCCCACACGTGAGTGCTGTAAAGGTATTTAGCCATGAGGATGGCT